TTTAATCTTTGGCATTTGAATTATAATGTGTCTTGGTGTGGGCCTCTTTGGGTTCATCTTTTTTTGGGACTCTCTGAGCTTCCTGGGGTTGTATGTCTATTTCCTTCACCAGGTTAGGGAAGTTTTCTATCATCAGTTCTTCAAATAGCTCTTCGACTTCTTGTTTTCTTTCAGATACCCTTATGACATGGACTTTTTACATTTAATTGTGTTCCATAGCCTTATTAAATTATTATAGTCTTGGCTTCTCTTTTCTTGCCATTCTGATTGAGTGTATTTGGTTTCCCCATCCTCTGTATTGGTGGTTCAATCCTCTTCTTATCCACTCTGTTGATTCTCTCTAATATCCTCTTCATCTCAGATAACGTGTTCATTTCTGACTGGTTCCCTTTTATAATTTCCATTTCCGTTTCTATGTTTTTTATCTTTTTGTTAAGGTTCTCACTGAGTTCATCTACACTTCCCCTAAATTCATTGAGCATCTTTATAACCCATGTTTTGAACTCTGCATCTGTTAGATTGCTTGACTCCATTATTCTTGGATTTCTGTTCTGTTCTCTCATATGGTTTATGCTTCTTTGTCTTCCCATTTTGGCTGCCTTTCTGTGTCTGTTTCGATGTACTAAGCAAAGCTCCTGTCTCCAGGTCTTATTAGTGTGGATTTGTGAAGTAGGTGTCCAGTGGCACAGTCCTGTGAGGGGTTCTGCAGGCCATATTTAGCCCAAGCCTCTACCCCTCTGGGGTCATCTGTCAAGATTCAGCAAGCAATCCACAGATGCTGTGCTTATAGTTGCCTCAAAAGGCCACACCAGAAACCAAGGCCAGCTGTCTACCAGTGTGAGTCTAGGCGCTGCTCATCAAGGAGCTCCTGACTCATTAAGGCTATACCTGGATGTGGCTTGGGTGGGGCTGTGGGTTGGGTGAGGCAGGATTTCAAGGAATCCTCTGGGCAGAGAGACCTCTGTTATCCAGTTTGATGACGTCACGGCTATGGCAGTGCTGTGTCTGGTGATTGGGGAGAACCCAACAGAGGAACAAGGGATACCACTGGCACTTCTGCCCAGTAGAGAGCCTCGCCTCCGGCCTTCACTCCAGCAATTCAGTGTCCCCCTGTAAGTCCTCTGGCGCCCCCCGCACAGCCGATCCGGTGCTGGTGCTCAGAGAGAGCAGGTCTGTTAGTGTGAAAGTCTGCTTGTGGACACGGCTGCTTTAAGAGGCATCCACAGCTGCCAGCTGCAGCTGCCACAGCCTCTGTCCCACTCAGCCACTGAGGACCAGGCAGCCTCCCATCTTCACCCCCTCCTACCTTCTACTGTTGCAGGTGAGCTCTTATTTCTCTCCCTAGTTGTAGTGCTTCTGTTAATCTAGATCCCAGGTAACCTTGCTTGCTGTTTACTCTGTATTTCTGTTACAACTTTGATTTGGTTGCAAGAGAGATGATCAAAGCCTCTATCATCTATGCCATTTTTTCCCCATAGGT